ATTATGCATAATCTCGCAATTATAAGGAAAAGCACTCTGTTTTTTCGTGGCTAAGCACGGGAATGTTTTCAGGACTAGTTTGTTTGGACAGAAAGTCATAATCTCGACTGATATCCAAATAAATTTAGAAATTGCAAAGTCTAACACAGATTCTGCTCTAACCAAGAGTATCCTGAAGCTCTTCGGGGAGAACAATTTGTTTGTGCAGAGTAAGGCCTCACACAAGCGTGGTCGTAACTTGACGTTCCAGCTGTTTGGATCACAGCGTCTCAAATTGACCATGCTACAAGACATCGATGTCTTGGCTGGAAAGTTCCTCAAGTAAGGAGCCCAAAACGGCAGTTTGGACGTCAAGACAACGGCAAGCAAGGTATATGGGATCGCTAATTGAACTCTATAGATTTGATTTCTTGTATTCGATAGTAACAGTTATAGCTCTCTTTCTACCTATAGCTCTTGATAGAATGACTTGCCAAGAATATCATGGGCGACATGGATCATGAGTCCCTAACGGAACTGCAGGATTGCTGGAACTTTTTCCCTACAAGTGGATGGTTTCAACTGCCACTGGACATTCCCGGATCGAGGTTTTACCAACTCCTACAGGTGCGTTTTTTTTCCATGATCCAAGACTTGTCAAGTTTAATGAATATGCATCTAGGTATAACTTCTTTCATGTTTATTACAGGGTAGAAAACAAATGATGAAGATATTAGGTGACATGGTCTCCATGAAGATAGCATCGGGAGAAAGAGTTACTGACTTCATGGAGATCATATTCAGTGAAATGGGGTGCCAAGGGGAGAGCAGGAGCAGGAGCGTGGAAAAGGCCGTTGAATACATCTTTAGTTTTTTCATAGTAGCAAGTGAGACAACCCCGCGGTTTCTTGCCGCTATACTAAAGCTAGTATCCGGCAATCCAAGGGTCCAGCAAGAGCTGCAGGTTTTGAATTTTAACGTTCTATCATTTTTTTCTGAGTTTTGAAGCAATATATAAACCCAATCCAATCTTGTAGAGGGAGCATTCTGACTTCACTCAAGTGACATGGGAGGACTATAAAGGCATGACTTTCACCCACATGGTAAGACGCTTAAAAGCCACTGCCGATAAGACTTTCACTCAGTCATCGGTTATTGCTTGACTAGAATTCGGTTTCACAAAACCAAATGTCCCCGCCGCAGTTCACGAATCTTAATTTTGTTTAATATGAAGCCTAACTATGCTGTTTCCAGGTTATTAACGAGGCCCTCCGTATCACCAGCACTGGCCCAACTGTATTTAGAAGAACTAGCCAAGACTACCAAATTGGAGGTAAGTTGTAAATTGAGCAAACCAAAATGTATGATTATATGGCGATAACGTATATGAAATGATTTGTTGACGCAGGCTATCGAATTCCAAAGGGGTGGATCTTCATGGGGTACCCTCTCGTTCATTTTAACGAACTATACTACGAGAATCCATTTGCATTTAATCCATGGCGGTGGAAGGTATTCCGTCACTAATTAATGGCTTGCTTTTTTTTCAATTTACAATATTTTTACTGTAGCAAATCCATGTTTGATATCAAGGAAACGAATTGAACGCTACAAAGACCTATATGCCATTTGGTGCCGGTACGAGATTGTGTCTTGGAGTTGAGTTTGCGAAAATGCAAATGGCCATTTTCATCCACCATATCTCACGGTATAGGTGAGTTAACTTTCTTTGAGTAACCCATCGGAGACTCACAGTAAAACTATAATTATGATAAGGTTTGAGAAGCGTGAGCTCATTTATTTCTTATTACTAAGGTGATACTTTTACACTCCCTAGTTGATGGCTAATGTGGTTATGTAGAGCTTATAAGTTGTTGTCAAATCTATTACTATAATCCAAGTNTCATCCCACGGATCTTGTTTGTAGGTGGTCGATGAACGAAGGAACCACAGTGCTTAGGAGGNTTCTTCCTATTTTCCCAAATGGATCCGAAGTTCAAATCTTCGAGGATACGGCATGCCACTGATCTGCTTGGTCGATCGATTTATAGCGTGTTGCACTTAATGATTATCTTTTAATGTAATCGTAACACTAATGTGTGGTGTTTTACTTTGGCTTATGCTTTAATGTAATAATGATGCTGCCTCGCGTGATGGATTTATTAATGTGTGTTTTACTTGTGGACTGTGTTTAATGTACAAGAGCCATTATATAACGGTTTGTTCAACCCGTATAGTTTAGTTACATACGAAAGATTACCAAAATGTCTTTGTGAAGTTGTTTAGAAGGCAATGTTATTTGCTACTCTCCACAGGTTCTTTTGCTTGAAAAGAGTTTAAGAGCTTGCTACTAATTCAGATTGAATGAATGTCCATAAGTTCATGTTGACTAAGTCAATGTCTGGAAAATTCTAGTTGTACCATGTATATTTTTTATTTTAGTTATACCAAAATAACTAGTTATACCATATCTTTACAGTTGGACCAAGTAATACCTAATTGTATCGTTTGTTTACAGTTGTACCAAGTAGTACTACTCAAGTTGTACCAAATAGGAGCATTGGAGAAATAAATGAATATTCCAGATAATAGAAGAGTATGCTAGAAAGGAGTACACACAAATTGGAGTATCTCAGACATTTGTCCGATTAGATTACTAGATGAATGGGCCTAAGAGGTGAAGATGAATGGGCCTTAGGGTAGACAATTTGGGCCCAAATCGTTCTTATTCGGTCGGAGTCGTGCAGCAATCAGCTGCTGGCTGCGTAGGAGAAGAAAATGGAGAGTTGCGGCCGGAGCGTGGTCATAGCGCCGTTGTTGCTTCGAAGTCAATCTCGAAGGCCTTTGTTTCTTCGAGGTCAATCTCTTCTTCAGCGCAGGTTCTCTCTGTCCTCCTCCCAGATCCCATCTCTGTCCTCCTCCCAGGTCCCATCTCTGCCTCGTGGGGCGGGAGAAGGAGTCAAGGAAGATGCGAGGAGTAAGCTGCTTCAAGTAGTTTTGGTCTCTCCCCAGGTCCGTTCAACAACTTGGCTTGGTTTCTTCTTCAACAACTTGACTTTGGTTTGATTCTCTAACTTGTACGACAGATTCCTGGGAACACAGGTTGCATTGCAAGAACATGTGCGGCTTCAGCTGTTGGGCTGCATTTAGTCGGGGTAAATAATAATATTTAATCCCTCTCCCTTTTTGGACCAACTATTCCCAGTCTTCATCTTCATAACTCATCCTCTGCTTCTTCAGCCACTAGGTTTTCAAGTGGATGACGCCAGAGTTAAGCGAGCTGGTTTGGATTATTGGCCGTATCCCACCTATACATACATACAATAGGGATTCATTTTGCTCTTACATTTCTGCACATTTTGTGTTATTGGTTCCATTCTGTTCTTGCATCTGTTATTTTTTAAGGTTAGAAGATGTTGTGAGATTATTGGTTCCATTCAATGCCCTTTCACTATTTCTTCTTAACTTAAAGCATAGCTTTGTGGTTGTCAAAGCGCATAGCTCGTGGGCTGAGTTTCGAGAATATTTCAGGCAACAGGTATAACTTTCCATAGCTCCATTCCCTCTATGTGGTGTCTGACATGACATATACACTTGTATGCTTTGGGTGCAGGAGGGAGAAAAACGGATGATAGCTTTCACAAAAAGAGGAACAAAGATACATTCAGTAAGTTGCCCGTCCTCCAATCTCTCTTTTTCAAAAATTATTTGGTAGCTGAGAAAGTTGAAATGATATTTAAGAGAGTGCATTGTCCTCAACTTGATGATGCAGGACTTCTCTTACCGAAGGGGTGATTACCTCCTGTTCGGGTCAGAGACAAGCGGTCTACCTCCTGAAGCGCTGTCAGACTGCAACAATGAAACATATGGAGGGGGAACCATACGTATTCCGATGGTGGAAACCTATGTGAGATGTCTGAATCTGTCGGTGAGTGTAGGGATTGCTTTGTATGAAGCGTCCAGACAACTTAATTATGAACAAATCGAGAGTGCCCCACAAGGTTGTGAACCATTGTTGACGGAGGATATCTTTGCGTGATATATATTGCAAAAAGGGAGATGGAGACGAGAGGCATAGCCATAGCCCATAGCTGGTTGGTAAGCAAGCAACACACGGATAAGGCTCTCTTTCAGCAACGTTTGTTTTCTTGGAGAAAAGACTCCACCCTTCTCATCTTTGTTGGCCAAATCCAAATCAGTCTCAACTCTCAAGTTTTAGAATTAGAACATTTTCTATTTTTGAATCAGAACGTTTTCACCTATATAGGTGATGTGCACCAAAGCTATTAGCTAGCATTAATGGACGAATTTGTCACATAAGCAATTAAGAAGCATTCACAAGCAGATGAACTAGACAGATATAGGTGAAATGATAGTTCCAGTGGATGATCTGTAGTATTTTGATAGCTCCATTACATCAATATTGCTCATGTGCCCTGATTCGAAGAAAATACAAGATGAATATAAATGGTTCACTCTTACCGCAAGTCATAAAACATTGGGGAATATAAGATAAAATCTTCCAACTCAAATCAATCATTACAATAAATGGGCAACACCTAGGAAAAAAGCAAACAAATAGTTGTTCATCACAACATCTTTATGCCTTCTTCCTTAAAATGCCAAGAGAGTCTGTGTTCATATGTGCATGTCCTCAAGGAAGTCAGACAACCTATAAAAACGAGTAACCCCTCCAGATATAAGTTGAAAGTGATCGAAAGAAGAGACTGGTGGTGATACAAGCTGAAGGCACCAAACCTTATATCTTTTGCTATCACAGTCTGCCCATCTTCTGCATCCAAATGCCGCAGAACCACTTCCTCCAAACGACCATCATGATACGCATGCTGCAATCACACCCACAACCCCCTCTTTGAGTTTTAGAGGTGCATCCATATCAACACCATCAAATATAAATTCCAAGGGTAAAATTGTCATATTATAATCCACCAAAATAACACCAAAACAACAAAGACTACCACAACCTCCCAATACCATATTATAGCTATATGACCTAAGACTCTCACTTCAATAACTTTATTATNGGTAGCTAATAGCTATCCTCATTGGACGAGTCCTCAGATTCTACATCCATGTGCATCAGTAACATCATCATATCCGTTGTAGTCAATTCGTCATCATCGCTATCTTCAAATCCAATAGTGCCATATTCTCCTTCTGAAATTATGTTCCCGATCATATTAACAAGTGTATCCACGTCTGAGAAATTAGATCCAGAGGGACGTGGACGCCTTGGAGGTGGCCTGTGGAATTTCCATGCATATGACCCTGGCTTCACAGTGTGCTGGAACACAACAACATCCAATAAGGACTAACCATTGATGCTATATCACAGTAAACAAATCCCTACGCTTCTTTCCATAAAGACATGGAAAACTTAACCTGAAAGCTCTGTGTAAACTAATTGCCGACTCTTTACTATTATAAAGCTTTAACTCTATGGTTATTAGCCATCATTTTACAGTTTCTAGATTTGGAAGATCTGACAATAAGTGGTATAGAAAAGAAGGCTCAGAGAGAGACAATACAAAAGGAAAAGTAAAACAGAAATGATGTCTTCTCCTGAGTTTTCAAGAGGGCTTCAATTATGGTAATTCAAAATTTCTTTCAAACATATACCAGAAAATGCTTGATGAATGAAATCAAGGCAGTAAATACATACAATGAAACCTGATTTCAATGTAATCATGAGCAGCAGTTTTCAGTGAATAAAAAAAGAACTTCCAAATGTCTACTTAAGCAATTACATCTCCGAATTCATTTCAATCAAAGGCTTTGCAAAGAAAGATACTAAGAACCAAAACTAATCCAACCAGCATGACTTCAAATACACCCCCGACTTAAAAAGGAAGGATTTGCCTATTAGTAAAAAACAACAAGGCATGATATTTGACGTCATCTCGAGAATGCATGATTTAATTAGAGTTTCAGCCCTGAATGCAAAGAAATACCTTGTAAAAGCAACTTGTCCCGAACGGACAATTCCCATCTCCGAAATTGAAGTGCTTACAATCGATTGACCTGGTAGAGACAGAGAGCATTTATTGCATTCAAACAAACGACGAGACATCCATAAAACTGACTTATAAACATACATGTTTTTCTTCCTTCACTAGCTAATCAATTGGAGTATATAATTGACAGCAATAAAACTAGCAGAATGTGGCAATGTCAATAAGCATGTAGTTTTACCTGAGCTTTTCCCTGTAGTTGTCTATAATTTCCTTTTTCTCTTCTGGAGCTGAAAACCAGATTACACTAGGAACAACAAAATATGATAACTTGCGGCATATGGGGCAAGCCCTGAGTGTGCTATTGACATCCATCCCAGTGGAAGGAGAACTGCTGCGCCAATTCCTGATACACCCTATGCAAAAAGCATGATCACATTCAGTGAGTAACCCGAACTTGCGTTCAGCTGGAGTTGGCTTAGACAGGACACGTTCTAAACAGACACAACACTCGATCTCCTGGCTAAGTGTTAATGCTTGAAGCTGCTTGTGCTTTTTTTCACAGGCTATCTTGTGCTCCTCTCTCTCCTCGAGTCTGAAAGGATGCAAGCAACGTTTCCCGCAGGTTGGGCAAATATTTCCATGGATGTGAGGGCATTCATCAGCACGTGGGCAATCACCAGCTGCAGCATATGAGCAAATGGGTTGTTCTTCTGGTTTGGCTGCTGCTGTAGCAGGGTTAAAGGTGTCTAGTGAATCCAAATCCCACGCCTGTTTGAAACATGATGAGGGAAGTGGGCTCAAATCCGTTTCCGCAGGAGGTAGAGCGGAGGAAGATGAAGCAGATGGATGAGGACGGGAAGCTTTGACATGTTCATACCTGCATCGACTTCCATAGGAGCAGATCCCTCGCTGGTAGTAGGTGCAAACCTGTGATAGAATTTACAAGTCCTGCCTTAAGGAATGCTTCGGAGAAAGAAGTATAAAGCCTTTGCTTGCTTAGCTTACATTATTTGTAGGATCCTTCCAGTCATGTGAAAATTCGCAGTGCTCCCCTTTTAAGCATGCGCCGTGAGCAAAGAATTTACAAAGGATTCTAAGAGAGAAACAAAATGTTGGAAGAGACTAGAGAGCATCAAAACAAGCAAAGAGGGATGATAATTACAAAATCAAAAGAAAACAGAGGGAAAAGGACGCACCTCTTCGACATGGGCGATTCTTTCTGGATGTTGTCTGTCTAGGGTTTGGGATTTGGAGGAAGGGAAGGGAAGGGAAGGGGGCTGGGGGTGTAAATGCAAATACGGTAAAAGTATGGGGCTTATCCGGATTTTAAAAGTCGCTGAGAGAAAGAGAGGTGAAATAAATAAAAAAATAAAAAGAGTAAACGTTATCCAAATCGAATAGAATGGCCACTAAAATCTTCTCTTCTGCATCTCCCGTCATCTCCGCCTCAGCCACCCGAACGCCGCTCCTCCCAAAGGCTGCGTTGGCATCGCGTCTTCTAGGCACCTCCCTCGCCGCTGCAGTTTCCGTACTGACCATGGCTCCCGCGCTGCCGGCCGCGGGCGAGGCGTTCAAGATATACTACGGGACGGCGGCGAGCGCGGCGAACTACGGGGGATACGGAGGGAACTCGGACAGGAAGGCATCGGCGGAGTACGTGTACGACGTGCCGGAAGGGTGGAAGGAGAGGCTGGTGTCCAAGGTAGAGAAGGGCACAAACGGAACGGACAGCGAGTTCTACAACCCCAAGAAGAGGACGGAGAAGGAGTACCTCACTTTCCTCTCCGGATTCAGACAGCTGGCGCCTAGGGACATCATTCTCAACAACCTCGCCCTCTCCGACGTGGACCTGCAGGATCTCATAGCAACCGCCGACAAGGTTGTGTCGGAGGAGAAGAAGGACGAGGCGGGGCAGGTCTACTATCTGTACGAGATCGATGGGGTCGGGATGCACAGTCTCATCACAGTCACTTGCGCCAGGAACAAGCTCTACGCCCATTTCGTCAACGCCCCTACGCCCGAGTGGAACCGAGACCACGATACCTTAACACACCTTCGCGACTCCTTCAAGACCGTCTCTTCTTCTTGAATTTTAGGAGTTTTGTGATCCTTGTTACTTATTAATCGCTAGCAAGCAAGTGCCTTGACCCAAATGTTGTGTGTGTTAGTATTTTTTATGTTTGGTTTGTCTTGTCTGCAACGAAAAAAGTGTCTTCTTTTTGATGTTCATTTTGCCCCTACACAGACACAGTAGTAGGATAGGACAAGAGACTAGACAAGACAGAGACCACAAGCAATGCAAGGACATATATATATATCGTGTTACTATTCCCACGCCCAAGACCCATCCTTTCTCAGTCTTTTCTTCTTATAACTTATTCAAATCCACACTGACTCCACTCTGTTTATAAACAGCCCTAAAGAAAGCCTAGTAATATAGTAAAATGTTACACCTAACAATCTAGGAGAGACGAACATATTATTACATATATAACCAAAAGAAAGAAAGAAGAAGAACGGAGGTTTCCTTTTTGAGGGAGAACAGACAAGCAAGTTGTGGTTTGGTAATCTCAAGGCCGAAAGCTGTACTTTAGTGTTTAATACTAGTACTA